GCGACCAGAGTCACGGAACGGATTAAGTTCGTAACCCGAGGTACCACTGTACATACAAATATATGTAGATATTGCATGTTGCATCTGTGGATTCTTAATGAATCATCTTGTCTTTTTTACCTTTGAATCCTCAATATGCATAATGGTAAGTTTTATTACTGCAATGCCTGCTCAGTTGTTGCTCCTAATTAAAAATATAAATACAAGCTTGTATAATTATGTTTAGTTTTTCATCACTGACATCTCTTACTTAAGAAGAAGCTTGTGGACATCACCGCATCCAATTACGTGTTTTCATCAGCCAGCTTACTGGCCAATGAAAGAGTATCAGAAAAACTGTCTTGTTTGCTATGTTTTTAGTTAATATTTCTACTTCCTAACTCAGCAAAACTTTCATTCCTGCATGCTTAATGTAAGTGTCTTGGCATAGTTTGTCCATGACTTATGCTTTAGGGATAAATTATATACACTGTCAATGTAATTTGTCATATGTCAGAACTGCCTTTTGTGGGGAAAGTCTCTCTTCTGTTCTTTGCTGCTTCTTTCATGACAGGGTGGTTCTCCTGAAATGAAATTGTGGGGTAAACCTCTTCCCAGAAATGACTGGTGGTTTTGATGCAGCAATTCTTCCTCAAATGGCAACGTAATTTCCTGCATATGCCTGAAGTACGCTGTCAGAAACTTTCCCAAAGTACCTTGTTGTTAACACACTCCCTGTCCCCACCCTGCAACTTTATTTTTAAAGCTCCCAAGGCTTTGAGCTCTGTCCCCTTTAATAAAAAAAATCAGGCCCAAGGTTTCTGTATCATTATGAATAACATTGTAACATAGATAGCTCTCTTCCTCAAGTTTATGATCTTAAAGGCATAACACCAAAAAGGAAAGAGCACGGGGAGGGCAAAGGAAAGCAACCAACACAGAAATTGGCTCTTAATGTTTTGTCATTCCTATAACTGCCAACTGTGATGGAAATGGGCTGCTCAAAGAAGCAGCCCAGATGACACCATCAGCCCCGGAGCTGTGGGTCTTGATGCTGGTCCTCTGAAGAAAGAGGAGCTCTTCTCCCCAAATTGGGCACACCAAGTGGACACAGCAGATCCTTGCTCTTTGTTTCTTTCTCACCACCTTTTTCTGTATGCATAGATAACATTGTCTCAGCGGGGTACAGATTTCAAAAGTTAAAGCTACCCTGATTAAAAAGGAATGAGAACAATTGCAGGAGTGGTTGAATGTGTGGAAGTTGTTACAGTTATATTTTGTGATTTTAGGAAACTTTTCTAAGGCAGAAAACAGATTATTAAAAACATAGCTTTAGTGTGTGTGTGTGTGTGAGAGAGAGAGAGAGAGATTGACTACATATTTAAAAATTAAGTTAACAAATACATGAACAATGTAACAGCAGTAGTAAAGCAGTCAATCAGTAGATCACAGGTTTTTAAAAAATCACATTAGTGCCTTAAACTGAAAAGATGCAACAAGCTGGGGAAATAAAAAGGCCCTTTGCCTAGTCTTAAAGGGAGCAACGTAAGAGCTTCCCATCAGATGGGTACTTTAGATGTTTGAGGCCACAATTGTTGCTAGAGTGGATTAGATTTAGACTTCCATAATCATGTGGACTGTTAATATTTCCATCAATAATTCAGAGATGACTGAATTGTTCTCAACCAGCTCTTTTATTCTGGATAGTTTGGTGAATCCTCCCTCCCTCCCTCCCTCCCTTCCAAAAAGTGTTTCAGTACAGCATCCAGTCCTGCAGTTAGAAAGTGAACTTTTCACAACCACTTCCGTAACTGCTCTATATCTGGCCTATAAACTTATGTTTAAAATTAGCCCACTAGCCTAACAGTTATGAAATGTGAAAATATGTAAACCCGATTGCGTTTCATTAGTATCCATCTAGCATCTGGAATAGCTGATGGGTGGGCAAAATATATGGGCTCCTTTTTGATTTTCTAGCAGAAAATTCATGGTTGAGCAAATGGTTTGTGTGCAAGAGATTTCCCAGAGAGAGCTGGGAAATACTGAAAGCCTAGAGAATTGATGGTAGTTTGATGGAGCAATCGCCTATCTGCATAGCTTTTCCTGACAGCATCTTGAGATACATGTTTATATCTGAAGGAAGCTTCCTTTGGAGGCTTCTAAATTAATTAATGGATGTCTGTTTAATTTCACATGTCTGACAGGCTCAGAATACATATATTCATGCAGATAGCTGGCCTTAAACATCTACAGGAAGCATCTGGCAATTTAAAGCTTCTACATTTTGTGTATCTGAGTTTTTTCTGTAGTGACACAGAGGAATAAGCAACAGCCCTACGCACAGTTGCGGAAACTATAACAAGCTCCATTTGCAGCACATTTGTAAATGTTACGGCTTGTGTACCCCCCAAATGCTCCTTTGCCTGCGGTCAGCCTCTTCTAGCCAAAAAAATCTTCTTTGGAGAAGTTCCTCCTTTTCCATGAGACTTTGTGCAAGCTCTTCAAAGATCTTATGTCACACCAGAGTTTGTATGCTGTATCTTCCTTATTTACAGTGTTTCTCAAACCAAATTGTTTCTCTGACAAATTGTTATACTGTGCAGTGAGAAATTTTCTACTGGCTTGCAGAAAAAATCCCATGAAATTGCTTTTGCATTCTGTTTATGTTTCTTTGGCTCCTGTCTTTTTTTGTTTCCATATATGTCTCAGTTATTATTAAGTTGATAGTGATGGAATATGTTTTGTGTACAGCTTTATAAATAATCCATCTGATTATAATTACAGTGGTACTTCGGTTCACGAACTTAATTCGTTCCGTGACTCTGGTCGCAAACCGAATTGGTCGTGAACTG